TAAAATTTTAATTCCTTAAGTTCACTTGAAATCACCCCTTGCTTCACCTTAAATTTTCCACAGAATTCATTCATAGCCACAGGACAAAGAAAATTGTTTGATGAAACAAACAACATATGTTCCCAACCTTGAAATCAAATTAAATATAAAAATTCCAAAAACCTAGATTTTCTACACTAGGACAAATCAAGTCTATGACCCACAACATACCTACCAGCATGAGACCCAATTTTCGATTGATAAGTGGTCTCTTCCTCCATTAGATCATCTTATCCTTCTGACTCAACTATTCCAACTATGAAATCCTCAACTTCCTTTATGTGTTCCTCAACCGTCTTTGAATTTTCTTTTCTAGGCTCCTAGTCTTTTGAGAATTTCGGAAGATTCCACTTCCTCAACTACTAATGATTTCTCTTTAGGGTTTTTCTTCAAAATAGATGAGGTTGGAAACTTTCGGCTCGATTTTACTCGGGTTTTTGATACGACACCATGGTTAAGGGTGAAATTTCTTCACATTTGGATTTGTGGGTGTCTTGAGAGTGTTTTGAAGATTCGATAGAAGTGATGTTTGCCATTGTTTCAAGGTTTAGGGGTTTTGAAGAAGTTGATGGTTTTTACTGAGTGGTTTAATTTGATTTGACACTGGACTAAGAGAGGTGGGTGAAAGATGCTTTTATATTAAATGAAGCGGTGTGAGAGATTTGAAGAGTTTTTATAACACCCCGTCTAAAGAAGAAGGCGAGACGTTAGCGAAAATAATGTCAAGACGGTAATGTCACTCTAAAGGTTACTAAAAATAAAGGGAAGAAATAAATAATAGATATAAAAATATTTAAGTGAAAGAAAAGCCTGTAAACATAGAAAAACTTCAAATGAGGAAGAACAACCTCAAATCCAATTGTCCCAAAAGAGATGGTCTAAAGATAACATAGGGAAGTCTATAAAACTGTAAAGAAATAAACTAAACACTCTGCTCTTTGCCCAGACTCAACAGAACCTACTCTTAACTTGTAAATAATATTTAGGTTCCACAATCAGTGTGGAGTAACTATCAGTCCCTAAGACAAGGAGATCAGTTAGCAGGAATCAAGACAAGGTAAGAACAAAGAAAAAGGCATATGAAAACAAAGTCACAAGACATGAACTGGAAGAAAATAAAGATATTAGAAAGAAACTATTCAATGGAAAATTGGGTTACTTAGAAAATTAAAACTTGAAAACGGATTAAAATAATTGTTAAAGTTCATATAATAATTCAAACAGGCAAAACATGTCAAACAATTTAGTAATAATATTAATACCATAGAAAAACAATTTGACTAAAGTAGGATCGAAAACTAGTGGAAGCCCGCAGTCCACTTCCTAAGGTTTGTCAGGCAAACCTCCAGTCAACTCACAGGAGAATGTGTCTAAGAATGGCCAAACTCCCGGCGCCGAATAGAAGTTAAATATGGTCTTACACCTCTGAACCTCCCGAACGACAACAATTAACCCAGGTTATACTACTTAAATCCCGCAGCGAAGTAGTTGGCATATTCTAACCATTGGAATCCCGCAGTCTAATGGCTTCTAAATTGCTGTAAATATAAGAATCAATAAAATAATATAATTTTAATTCAAAAATATCAATGATAAGCAGAGATGCCACATATGGTCTTATACTCAAGAATTATCAAATCAAACACCGCAATATGCATTGGTTAAATATTGTGTTACCAACACCATGAGAAGTCTTTTAATCAGAACACGCACACTGTACACATACATATACATGTTGTCCATTTTTTACAAATTGCAAATGCATACTTCTATAAAAAATCAAAATAATTAGGTTATTGCTCTAAAAATTATCAAACTTGCACTCATTGACCCTCACATTGAACTGGTATAATAAGAAACATAAAAAGGTTTAATCATGATTATATACCCTAAACTAATTCCAACCAACAGCTTACATAAAAGTTCAGACACTAATATAATATTATCAAGCCAAAGTTCACCTACTTAGATTACTAGTCATTGTACAAATTAATAACATAAAAATACAGTACATAATTTGATTACATGAACTCAAGGCATGATTTATAAAGTAATAATCAGAGTATTATACTCACACTATTTTCACACATATTGCAGGAAACAACTCACTCCATATTACTTCTCAAAACCGTATTATACTTCACAAACAACACTTATACCAGTTAAAACCATGACCCAATTAAACTAAGATTCAAGCAACTAATTTAATCATTATAAGCTATGAAAGTCAATTCCATGCTTCACAACCATCTAAAACATGCTAGTCCAGTTACAAAAATTTCCAACGAAATGCACATAGCATGGATTTGGTCAAGCATGTACAATTAGCTATTGTTTATCAATAAACATGAATCGATCACATCATGAACTTAAATATTTGACATTTGAAAATCAAACTAGACTGTAGCAGCCCCATTACACAGACATGTCGCACAAAACCAGTAGGAAAAATAATTCACAATTCGTCTAATTAAAATCAGTTTTTATAACGATTGTACTAGTTTTCGTCATTCGAATTTCTCAATTGTTCTAGGCCTAAATCATGCATTCTAAACTAGGTGAAATCTAGTCAAAGGGATAGTACTTGTTACCTTGAAAGTAGAGTGTAAGAACGAGTACAAACGAGTCCCAACGAACAAGGATTGAAACTCCAAACGCCCTCCAATTGAAAGCCGTTACTTTGTGGATTTTATTGTGAGAAATTTTGTGTGTTTAGAGCCTAGAATGCAGCAAGAATAATGTAATATGGCTGGGAAGCGTAAGGGTAATATAGAGGGGAAGGAGTGAAGTTTGAGGGTTAGGCAAAATTAAAGGGATTAGGGGTTACAATAATCATCAATAGAGTGGTCAATTTTATTAGACTCGCGCGATGCACGATTTAAATAATTTTATTATTATGCTTATGAATAATTTTGTTATCATTCTTATGAAATAATTATGTTATCATGGAGTGACAATTTTTTATTATTCAAAATTGTATAGTGTCTATTAAATTAATAATTGTTAAAAAAAATTTAAATAATATTTAATGACATCATTAATAGAAATGGAAGGAAATTATTTAATTAAAAAATGACACGTAAGATAATTTAAGGGATGATGATATCAACAATATTTTGTTTTAGTAATAGTTATTATATTAGAATAGGGGTTACAAGGAGCATTAGCAGCCAACAAACCCTTTAATTTCTCCCCTTTATGTGACATAGTAAAATGGGTCAACATTAGTGAGTAATATAGTTTGTTAGGTCCAACACTCTATTAAACTAATTCGCACGCTGAACTTAAAATTACTACTACGATGAACTAGCATTACGACGATCAATAAAAAAATAATATATTATTTTAAAATTTGTACTAAGTTATAGAAAAAATTAGTATAAATATACCTTTTTTAAAATACTAATGTCACAAACAATATGGGTTATTACAGTTTTACTATTTAGTTCTTTAATTGAATAAATTCAATTAATTTTCAAAATTTAAATAGGATATTTTCCAAAATTCGTGTTCTTTCCAAATTCAATCAATTTCCAAAGATAATTCAATTACCATAAAGAAATCACATGTTTGGAACATTTTTTCACAACATATGCAATGTACATTACTACTTACACACTCAATTAGGTGTTTGTGAACTAACCTCTAGGAATTCACCAACGGTGAAACTTTAGCTATGTTTAGCACACCACTATTGTGCTAGATGCCCTTTTTTTCTCTTTTTATATTATTTCTGCCATATCTTTGAACTTTAGTAGCAATCAAGTCAGCTTGATCATCCCAAGGTCCAATCTCAATTTCTCAAATCTTTCTCTATTTAAGGGCTTGGTTAGAATATCTGCAATTTGATTTTCAGTAGGAAAAAATTCTAACTTAATACTCCCTTGCCCCACATTGTATTTTAGAAAGTGATGCCTAATGTGGATATGCTTGACATTTGAAAGTTGAACTGGATCTTTATAAGAACATATAGCACTAGTACTATCACAATAAATAGGAACACATTCAAATAAAATACCAAGATCTCTAACATGTTGCTTTATCCATAACATTTGAGAATAACAAGCTGCTGCAGCTACATATTCAGCTTCAGCTGTAGACAAAGCAATTGTGTTTTGCTTCTTGGAACCCCATGAAACTAAACAAGGTCCTAGAAACTGTGCCATACCTAAAGTGCTTTTTCAATTAACCAAATCACCTAAATAATTAGCGTCAGTAAAGCCATTTAAATCAAATGAGTCATTTCTAGGATAGAAGAGACCCAGGTCATTAGTTCTTTTCAAGTAACGAACGATTCTCTTTACTGCTTTTACGTGAGATTCCTGTGGATTAGCTTGGAACCTGGCACATAAACCTACACTAAAAGATAAATCAGGTGTACTAGCTGTTAAGTAAAGTAGAGGAACAATCATACCTTGATACATAGTATGATCTATGCATGTTCCAGATGGATCTTCATCCAGTCTTAGCTATACCCATAGGAGTTCGATAGGATTTTGCATTATCAAGCTTGTTATTCTTAACCAATTTCTTAATAAACTTCTGTTGATGGATATGATACCTTCCTCAGTTTACTTGATTTGCAAATCAAGAAAGAAATTTAATTCTCCCATCAAGCTCATCTCAAATTTTCCACTCATACGGTTAGCAAAATACTTACATAGAGATTCATTTGTTCCACCAAATAATATATCATCAACATAAATTTATACAACTAAGATATCAACTCTATTTTATTTTAAAAACAATGTTTTATCAATTTTACCACTAATAAAATCATTCTTCGAAACGAACCTAAAAAATCTTTCATACCATGCTCTGGGATCTTGGATGAGTCCATAAAGGGTTTTGTCAAGCTTGTAAACATGGTCTAGAAACTCTAGATTTTCAAATATAGGAGGTTGTTCCACATAGACGTCTTCTTTCAGTTAACCGTTCAAAAATGCACATTTTACGTCCATCTAGTACAACCTAAATTCCATATAAGCAGCAAAAACAATAAGTAAGCGAATAACCTCTAACCTGGCTAATGGTGCAAATGTTTCTTCATAGTCAATTCCTTCATATTGCCTAAAATATTGTACAACCAGTCTTGCTGTGTTTCTGACAATAATACCATGCTCACCTTGTTTGTTCCTAAATACCCATTTCAGTCCAATTGTCTTTTGATCAACAGGTCTAGGTTCCAAATGCCAAACTTCATTTCTTTCAAACTCATTTAGCTCATCTTGCATAGCATTAATCCAGTAAGCATCAGTTAAAGCTTCAACATAGTTCTTAGGTTCCATGGAGGATAGAAAAGCATAGAATGCATAGAAGTTCCTGAGCTGAGATCTAGTTTGGGTTCCTTTAGTGATATCACTCATGATTGCATCAAAAGGATGTAATTTTGTATGCTTCCAAGACTTTAGTGTGAAGTCCTAGATTGGATACAATCTTTATTAATTATTGTTGATTGGTACTTCAGTTGGAACCTCATCTTGTGATTCAGCCTTGACTTCTTCTAGAACTTCTGGTTGCCTTTAATATTTGTTGTGAACTGGAGTTCCTTATGAATATTTTGTTGATTGCTCTTCATTTGCATCATTGCTCAACTCACATTCCTTTTCAGTATGCTTCTTCTGCAATGATGTTGATTCTTCATTTGGATCATACTTTTGTACAAGTCCTATTTCAAAATCATCATCATCATCCTATACATCAATTAATTGTTCAGTTTCATTAAAAATTACATGTACAGACTCTTTAACACACATTGTTCTTTTATTAGAAACTCTATATGCTTTACTATTTGAGGCATATTTAAAGAATATTGCCTCATCACTTTGTTCATCAAACTTTCCCAAGTTTCTTTTACCATTGTTATGAAAAAAAAACATCTACAAACCAAGAGATCTAAAGTAAGAAAAATCAGGTTTTCTCCCTTTGATGAGTTCATAGGGAGTCTTGGTAGTGATAGCTTTAACTGATACTTTATTTAGAATGTAACAAGCTGTATTCACTACTTCTGCCCATAAGTTCCTTGGCGGACCACTTGAGAACAACATTGTCATGGCCATCTCCACAAGGTTTCTATTCTTACGTTCCACAACACCATTTTGTTGTGGAGTTCTTGGGGCAGAGAAGTTGTGATCCATTCCATGATCTTTGAAGAATTCATCAAACTTGGAGTTTTCAAATTCTGTTCTATGGTATGATCATAGATGCATCAACGGGTTACCTATTCTCCTCTGTTCTTTCTTCACAAAGGCAACAAACTCATCAAACGTTTCATCTTTACTAACAAGAAGAAAGACCCAAGTGAACCTTGATTAATCATCAACAATAATTAACCATTACATATTTCTTACCACTTCTACTTTGGATTCTCATTGGACCACAAAGACCCATATGAACGAGTTCCAAAGGTCTTTTGGTGCTTACTGTCTTCTTTGATTTGAAAGAAACTCGAGTCTGTTTACCTCTAACACATGCATGACATACTTTATCATATAGGAACTTAATACAAGGAAGTCCTTCCACTAGTTCCTTGGATCTAAGTTTATCAAGCAAAGTAAAACTTGCATGACCAAATCTCTTATGCCACAGTAGAGGATCATCCTCAATAATAACACCAACATATGTTAAACTTCTATTTGGAACCTCTTTGAGATCTATAGTATATGTGTTACCTTTATGAGTTCCTTATAGTATAATGTTCCGATATCACTGTGAATAATTTTACACTTACTAGAAATAATAAAGCTAACAGAGTTACCTTTGTCACAAAACTGTGAAATACTTAACAAGTTGTATTTGAGACCCTCGACTAAAAATACATTATAAATAACATGGAAACTTGACCTACCTACCTTTATAATAGCAATTATATCACCTTTTGCATTATCACGAAAGGTCACAGTTCCACCATAGTAAGCTTCCAGTGAGAGAACTCTAGATTTATCTCCATTCATGTGCTTAGAACAACTATTATCGAGGTACCAAGTGTTGTCCCCCCTCATTAGAGCCTACATGAAGAATCAAACATTAGTGTCAAGAACCCAGGTTTCCTTGAGTTCCAATGTAACAGATGTGGAATCAGATTTCCTAACCTATATCTGTTAAACATGATTTTCATTATTTAGAGTGCTGTTTTTTTTTATTGGGACATTTGACTAGCTTATGTCCTGTTTTACCACAGCAATAGCAAACAATACTACTAGGTAGGTTAACATACTTCTTTTCTTTCTGAAACTTTTTCTTATATCCTAAACCTTCTGTTCTTTTAGTTTGGGCATTTGCAATCCATTCAGGTACATTGTACTTAATGGGTTGTTTACCTTCCTAACTCTTTCAAGTTCCTCCTCAAGATTTGCTTCCTCCACTTATAATTCTTCTAAATCAGATTTTAATTTTTCAAAGTTTGGATATTAATCAAGAAGAGGAACGTAGGAGATAGGAACTACTATACCAATTTTTAAAAAAGACAGATCCATATTCAAAAGTGTGTTGTCATGTTTTAGTCTTGTAAGATTCTCTTTCATAGTTACATTATCATCAAAAAGACTAAAAAACCTATATTTAATATCAAATTTCATATTGTCCATTCATTCACTATGTTCTTTGGAAGTGTCAAGTGCCTTATCACTTTATTCTTTAGCTACATGAAGTTATTTTAAATCTTCAAATATATCTAACATAATGTTTATCAAGTTTTCTTTAAAGCAATGTCTTAATTCATTAGAAGAATACCATACCTCAGCCTCATATTCTTTTAATTTGGCGTTTTCAACAGTTTTAGCCATAAGACACAAATCAGTAGTTTCTTCTTCAGGTTAATCTTTTTCTTCTTCAGAATCTGAGTCTTCCCATGCAGCCATTATAGCCTTCTTCACATTTTCTTTTGAAAAGTAAGGCTTATAGACTCTGAACTCCTTGGCCTGATCCTTTCGTTTTAACTTCCCTTTGTCATTCTAATCAAGTGTACAGTCTCTTAAAAAGTGATATTTTGAACCATATTTGAAACACATAGTTTCTTTGAAACTTGGAAATTTCTTGTTCCTACAAGTTTTTTAGTGTTCATCACCTTCTTGAATCTTCTCACCAGCATTGCCATCTCTTCCTCATTAACTTTAGATTCCTCAGATTCTTGAGCTTTCAAAGCGAGACTCTTGTTCTTGCAACTTTCGACATTGGAACTTAAGTGTAGGTCAAGAGTCATCATTGATCCTGCTAGCAGTTCCATATTGAACTTTTTAAAGTCCTTGGATTCTCATACGGCAGTAACCTTGGATCTCCACCGTTCATCTTGTGGAAGACTCCTCAAGATCTTTCTAGCCTGTTCATCTATAGGGATGTGCCTACCAAGGGAACTCAGTTCATTAATAATATCATTGAATCTTGTAAACATTTCCTCTAAGGACTCCTTAAACAGCATTTCAAAACTCTCATATCTAGACATCAATAAATCAATTTTGAATGTTTTACCTCGTTTGTACCTTCATGAGTAACTTCTACTACATCGCAAATCTACTTAGCAGACTTGCATCCCATGATTCGATTATGATCATGAAGTCCAACTCCACAATGTAAGTATTAAATAGTCAAAGCAATTAATTCAAGTTTCTAATAGTCCTCTTTGTCAAACTCAGATATAAGTTTAGGAATTACCTCGTTTTTCTCATTGGTTGAAGTAACCTCAAAATCATCAGATTTAATTTTACGCTAAATATGGTTATTTTCAGCCTTGATGAATATTTCCATCATGTTCTTCAAGCAGGTGTAAAACTTACCATTGAACATAGGTGGACATTTGGTAGAATACCCTTCTTCAAGTTTCTTTTTGTAGTTCATCTCTCCTTAGGAACTAACTCAGCAAAGTTATCTACTTACACGTGAGAACCACGCTCTGATACCAATTGTTAATTGAGACAAACACTACAAGCACTACTTCAAAAATGGCCTAAGGAACCACTCTAAAGGCACCGTATAATTAAAAAATCCGGTTTCTTAGATAAAGAAACCTCATTTGAGAGAAATTCGGTTTCTTATGTAAAAATAAGAAACCATATATATTTTAAATATGGTTTCTTAGATTCTAGACTATATTAGATATTCAAAAAATCGTAAATCTTACTATAACATAAGCAATAAATAAATTGAAAACCTAATCGTGTAAATTAAAATCCACCCATCTTCTCCTTAAAATGAGTAGCCGTTTCCCTTGTAAACTTCATCTAGAATCTCAGTACCTCTATAATTCATTTCCCGTCGTCCTCAATTTCTTAAATTCTCTTTTCCTCACCGTCAAGTTCTCATAATTCCTTCGTATTCGTCGTCGCCTTCTCACCGTAACATCCGATCTACCGTCTGCGTGCTCGTTGTGCCGTCAAATTAACCGTCATCTGTACGCCGTTCCTTTGATTCATCAATGTTTGCTCATCCATTAAACTCGGTACGAATACTTTTTCAATCAATTTTAATTACGTAGTATGTTTCATTGATTTATTTTGCTTTCCATTTCAATTTCGGTTAATTTGTGACTATGTGCATATAATCAGTATCTATTCTTATGTTGTGAACGGTTTATTAATCAAGCTGCCTCATCGAATTTTTTCTAATTACAAGCCTCATTGAATTTTTTCTAATTACAAATCTTATTTGAATAACAATTGATGATATATAATTATATGCTCTTTAATTTTGCATTGAAATGAATCTAAATATGGCCAAGTCATGTTTGCAGTTGAAGACTTGAAGGAAGTAAAACAAAGCAGATTAATGCTAATACATTGAATAGTTTCAAGGAGGAGGTTGTATTTATAGTGTATGCTAATGTAATTATTATGTAATTTTTTCTTTTAATGTCACAGAATATTTTTATGAAATAGATGTATTATACTTCGTAATTTCTTTATAATAAAGATCTTGTAAATTGTAAAATATGAAATTGATCATTCATCCTTTTATAATAAAGATACTCCATTGTTAATTTTAGTCCTGGATGTAGCAACAAATTTGATCTAGTAACATTATTATATTTCTTTTAAAAAAAAAAAGAACAACAAAGAGACCGGACATCTATATACACTGGTCTCTTTTACTTTATCAAAGAAACCGGTAGAGCAAGGATGCACGATGCCTTTGTCTCAATAATTTGATTCACTTAGAAGGACCTAAGAGACCGGTTATTAGCTAGAACTGGTTTCTTTGATTAATCTAAGACACCAGATAGAAAATACGGTCTCTTAATCAAAGAGACCTACTAGCTAGGCACCAGACCTTTTGTGGTTTCTTAACCCTATTTTGGCCGATTTATTAGCCCTATTTTGTAATAGTGAAGAGGGGGTGAATTGTATGTGAATTCCTAGTGACTATTTTGTAGAAT